ATGTGTCTTGTTCACTCATTTGGGCATCCCCTGGGCAGCAGCTTTTGGCTGGCTGATCCTTCCAATCCAGAAGGATCCAAAGTGTAGCGAGGTGCTTACCCCCGCTTGTGATGAAGGTTTTACAAAGGACCTTCTTAGGTCCACAGATGACTGTTAATTTTATATTTTACATTTTGTTGTTGTTCTTAGTCGTGAATTTGTGTCCAACCCATTGCGACCCCATGGACAACATTCCTCCAGACCTTCCTGTCCTCCACCATCCCCCGGAGTCCACCCAAGCTCACACCAACTGCTTCAGTGACTCCATCTAGCCACCTCATCCTCTGCCGTCCCCTTCTTCTTTTGCCGTCTATTGTTCCCAGCATTAGGCTCTTCTCCAGGGAGTCCTTCCTTCTCATTAGGTGGCCAAAGTATTTGAGTTTCATCTTCAGGATCTGGCCTTCAAAAGAGCAGTCAGGGTTGATCTCCTCTAGGACTGACTGGTTTGATCGCCTTGCTGTCCAAGGGACTCACAGGAGCCTCTGCCAGCACCACAATTCAAAGGCCTCAATCCTTTGGCACTCAGCCTTCCTTATGGTCCAACTTTCACAGCCATACATTGCAACTGGGAAAACCATAGCCTTGACTTTATGCACTTTTACATTTTACATGTCTTGTTTTATAATAAGCCCTAATATAATATGTTTTATAATATATCTTATTTTAACTGTGATGCTTCTGACTTGAATAAAGAAAGAAAAGCTGAAGTACACTGGGATGAAGAAGAAATATTCAGAGCACTAAGCAACCTATGAAGCATAGAGCACAGAGAGAAGATTAAGATTTTTCAGGACTTGGCACAGGGAGCATTCCAACTGTTTATTGAAGCACTAAGACATGCTGTAGAGATAATTCTTCAAGCTGCGAGTGAGTAAAGGCAGGAAAGTGCAAGAGCAACCAAAGAAGAGCCAATTAAACCTTTGCAAGAACTTGGAATAAAACTTCAGCAAATGAACCTAGAAAAGAGGATGAACCTTTATCTGATCTTAATGATCCTGAAAAGCAATGGAAAGGAGACAAGGAAGAAGGAACTACAAACTGGGGCAACTGAATTGTACCAAAAAAAAAAAAAAAAAAAATGCTTAGGAAGACAACTTAATCTATGTTTCCAAAATGCAAGAATTAAATTACAAGAAAGGGGATTTTCTCAACTAACACTGGACATATAAGTAAGAGAAGGTTACATTATATTGATTTAATAATATGAATATATAAAGGGAATCGAGCAGGAATGTATTAAAATGGAGTAGGGAAATGAGAAAAAAGAAGGAAAGGGGTTTTGATTTCTATTTAGTTAGTTTTTAAGGGGAACATATATGAGAGGAAAGGATAGCTTTTCTTTCTCTCTAATTCACATGAAATAAAATATCAAAGCAATGAGAATAAGAAAGAAAATGGAATTGTTGTTTTGGAATAACAGTTGAATGGTTATTTTTTACCAATTGATGCAAAGATAAAAGATAAATTGAAGGAAATGTGGCCAGGGGGACAACCAATAACAACTTACCAAATTTTGTGTGTCTGTGAATTCAAATAAACCAAATGACTCAATCGATTCTTGGAACTGCAGGAAAGAGAAAGAAAAGGAATTGTTTTTGTTTTGTTTTGTTTTGTATTGGTCTTGCACAGAACCTATTCTAAAATTGATTAAATCTTAATTTCTAAAGATATGTTGCTAAAGATCTGAAACTGACACTAGTAACATGACAGTATCAGACCACACTCCAGTTGATCTTAAGATGGCCCTTGTGGAACCACAAAGTTGTCTCCCTACATGGAGGCTTAATGCCAATGTGCTCAACAAGATAGGAAGAGTATATAAAATAAGGGAAGAAATAATACATTCATTTTCCTCAGACAGTGATCCAGTATGAAGAAAATTGTAATATGAGATGTCATGAAGGCAGTGATTCAGGGAACATGTTTGCTTGAGGCAGGTGATTTAAAGAAACAGCCAAAGTCACAGTCACTGTGTTGCACAACATAGCAAAATTAGAGAGTAAACCTAAACAAATGGCAAGCATAAAGGCATATAGATTATTAACTAGTAAAAAAGCAGCATTGCAAGCAGCCCAGACAGGAAAAAAACCAGATGACTACGACATTCACAGGGTTGGATGAATTTACAAATGAGTTCTGTAAGAAATATTAACACCACAGTTGCAACACCTATTTAATACTATACCTAAAAGAGAATCTATACCTGACAACAATCCAGACTGGGAAGGGTCGTAGCTCTGTATGCTCATACTGTCCTATTGCACTTCTTAACCAAGATGCCAAAATAAGAATAATAATTGCGGTCAAATGATTAAATAATTTAATAACAACTTGTGTCAGCACTGGCTAAATAGGATTTATTCCTAGAAGGTATTCAGCTGATTCTATTCTGAGAGTGCTGCACATAATATTCCATAGTGTTACTAATTGGATTCTGGTTGCTTTGCTTTTTTAAAGATGCCTTTAAAGCTTTTGACAGACTTGAATGACCTTTTTATAATAAAGACACTCCAAACATTAGAATTTGGCCCCAAATTAATGACTCTTATTAGGCAATTCTATTCATACATAGCTGTGGTCAGAGCAGATGCCACAGACTCCAGCCCTCTCCAATTACACAGAGGCACCAAACAGGGATGTCCATCCAAATTGTTGTAGTGAACCATCCTGAGACGTCTGTGATAGGACAGTATACAAAAGTTTTAAATACATAAATAAAATGTTCTTACCATAAACCTGCATTCAGGTGACATATTGCTAATACTTTCAAATCCAAAGAATCTAATCCTGAACTTAGATTAAAACTATCTGAATATGAGAAACTAGCAGGATTAAAAATAAATTGTCTAAAATCTGGGTTACTATGCTTAAATAGGTACAAGTAATACAAAAACTGGGAGGTAAAAGAAATACATAGACAACTTATAAAGGGAGGAAAGCCTATTTCAACAGAAAAATGGGGAGAGAAATTGCAAAATATAGAAAGGAACACATTTCAAATCATCCAGACCCAAAGCTTTGCTTTAAAGCTCTCCTTCAAAAAGAATGAGGCAACCTGATCTCCACTATCTTTGCAAATGAATGTGTAAGCTCACAAGAAGGGTCCAAAGGTTTAGCCTCTCATATCTAGAGTTGGTTAATAACGCATCATTGTGGAACCACTGGAGGGTTGAAAATAGACTGGGAGAATAATGTTGGGAATTATGGATAAACATGCAATACAATCTGTGAAAACAACCTACTTAAGTCTATTTCAGCAGCAATTGAAGAAACACATTGGTCAAACTGCACATTTTGATGTTTTTGTTGTGTCATTGTTTTCTTACATTTCTCAAATAAAATATTTTCTTTATGAAAAGGGAATTGGCTAAGTGAAATGACAAGGTCACAGTAAAATAATCCTTGCAGCCTATGTTCCAATGTTCCAACGTTCCAAGCATCCAATGTTCTCCTAGCTGGAGCAAAATGAAGTTTGCTTATTGTGGACACATTGTCTGAATTCATGTATAATGAAACCCGGGGTTAGATGCTGAAAAGGTAATGTACAGCCACCTGCTTGAAACCTACACAGGTTTAGGGTGGCTGGTGCCCAATCCACACTCAAGCAAAAGGAGGGGCAAAGCTGCAAGAAGGATCTGTGCAACCCCTCTCGCTCATCAGAAGGGAGCTGTCACAAGCTAGCAAGCACAGAGCTGTGCATAAATTTATCTTTGGACTTTTTTCTTAAAAAAGAAAGGTTATTTGCGGCCATGCATGCCACAGCATCACTCGCTCATCTTGAGCAAAGATGAGACAGATAAAGGTCAGGATGAACCTTTCCAGAATCTGCCCTTCTAGCATCTGCAGACTTCCTTTCACGCTCAGTCCAGTCCTGCAAAGTGAGCTGAACCAAGAGGAAGAGCACAAACACTTGTGGACCCCCTGCCAGTGTGCACCCAGAAACTCTGCCCACCTGGAGTGGCTGCAGGATGTGGAAGAAGGGCAATGCGAGTGACTGCACCAGCTGCCGTTCCCAGTGACCAACCTTTTCCCCCAGTTGCTGCTGGCAGCAGTGGCACACATGGGCAAGAGGCCCTGCGAGCAGGCACGTAAGCTGCCGTTCCCAGCAACCAACCTTCTGCTGCTGGTGGTGGTGGCAGCACACATGTGCTGGGAAGAGGAGCACTGTGAAGTGGGGCGCCAGCCACCATTTCCAGTAGCCAAGCCCCTTTGCTCCCTGCTGCTGGTGAAGGAAAGAGGCACTGCTTGCACAGTGCGAGGGCTCGACTCCTGTTGAGTGCTGTACAAATGCTTGCACACACTCGCAAGGAGCACAGGCTCTGGACCATTGCAAAGTGGAGCCAAGTCTGGGGACCTGAGCCCAGGGGATCTGCCAGATTTCCACGCCCAAACGAATTTCTTGCTTCTTACTTTGGAGAAGGCAACCTACTTCCATGTAGTTATATACACACAATTATGAGATATTTGTTGCTATGATGGATGGGTATTAATTTGCTTTTTAATAAATCACAAGACTACTGTCAGGAGGAGAAGGAATGCAGCTGAAAGCCCACTAGCTCCTAACTTACATTTTTCACTTCTTCCCTTTGCTCTTGGTCATAACTCTTCAACTTGATCTGTCCCACTGCCCTCTGAAAGGGAAGGTAGCTGGGTAGTTTTTCTCCTTCTGTGTTTCAATAATTAAGAATTCTGTATTATTATATGCAGACAGAAATATGTCTGTCTCTCTCACTGTAGCAAAATGCAGCTTATCCTAGTGTTGTTGTATATAAATTTGCCCCCAAGTCCTTAAGCTAAAGGCCACTCCTTTCTTGGATCTGTATGTCCCACTGAACATTTCTTTTGCTTTATTATCCAACTTTATGTCCCACAGAACATCTGTCTCAGCCTAGACTGCAAGGTTAATCAGCATGCCTATGGACCTCTTAAGGACTGTATTAGAAAAGACAACCAAATCTGTGTTTTGGTGTAAAAATAATTTAATCAGTTCTATAAGCAACTTTTTTAATAGTGTTCAACATTATTGTTCAATAAATACATAAATAAGAATGCAATTTCTCTGCAAGGAATTCCCAAGTGAGAAAACTCCAAGCTATTCTTTGGTAAATCATGCAAATAAATATTGCTTTCAATGTTACTATAACTATTTGGAAACTCTATCAGATACAGATGATTGCTACTATAATAAATATTATCTCAGGTATTGTCATGGTAATAAATATTAGGTTCAAAATATTATTCAGGAAACACATTAAACACGATGTACATTTCTGATTGGCTCTTTGTCTTTCTTTTGGTGCTTGGCACAGTTGTCTCCGTCAATCTCACAACAACCCTATGAGGTAGGTTAGGCTGTCAGGTAGTGACTAGCCCAAGGTCATTTGGTGAGTTTCAGGGTTCATCCTCTAACCAACTGTAGCACAGAGTAAGTAGCCTGAGACTAGCTCTAATTCACAGTAGTCTTGATGCAGCTGCTTCTGCTTGTCTTTGCTCCAGGGAGTAAGATCTGCTGCCAGTCTGCCTTACTGTAATCGGAGTAGAAGGGCCGCTGCAAGAACAGCTGCACTGTGATTTCTGTTGTGCTTAGCAATGTTTCTGCTTTCCAGATCGGCTTCCTTCATTTCCCTTCTTATCTTTGTGCTTCCAATGTATTTATGGCATTTCTTTTTTGCGTATGTTAAATATCTCCTTAAAAACTTTCTCTTAGAGCAGCTGCAAAAATAAGTACATTATAAGTTTTTTTAAAATATGGTTCTAAAAGTTTGTTTTAAAAAAAGAAGTCTTGACTGAAAAGGCTCAGTTTCATTCAACAAAGCAGGATAGGAAAGACTCTGAAATGTTTTTTATAGCTGCGATCCATTATTAGCTTGAGCTCTGGAGAAAAGAAAGGAAAGGAAAGGTTACATCAGTGGCCCAGGATTACTTCTGTTGAAATAAATGAGAAGGTTTTACAATTACTCAGTATCATGAAAGGGAAGCACCATTTGGAGGGAAGTCGTGAGACATGGAGTAAGTTTATGAGGATTTATGAGGATTGTCTGCCAGACATCATTCTGGTATGTCCAGTTTAGGAAAAACACTCTGTTCTTTTGCCATTTATACCATATTGACTTCCTTATGGCAACCCTTCTTCAGTGAAATGATTTGACACTAATTATATTGCTGTGATTTCCCAGAAGTATTACTAACATTTTTCTAGGGCAAAAGTGCTTGATCTGGGGAATGACTGAAGTGAGAAGGGAGGAAATACCAGGCATACTCCGCCATGAAGTTCTCTTGCACTAGTCTTATTAAAAAGATGTGAGCTTCAATCCTAGCATTCCCATTGAACTTATTTCTCGGCAAATATATATGCACCAGGCTCTTTTAAAATTGGAAGAGAATGATAACTTACTTGCTCAAGAGGGCCTTGATAATAATCTTCACCCATTTTGCTGTTGGGTCCAAGCATACTTCTCTGCCATCCTTAAGGGTTGCACTGTAAGAAAAGAAAACCAAGAGAGTTCTACAGGATGTCACTACCTCATGACATCAACTCATGTTGTAAGTCATTTTTAACAATAATAGTTATTCATATAGGTAGTTAATAATAACTCGAACCCTAACCCTTTAAAAAGTGTTGGGGAAAAGCCCAAAATGTAGACCCCACTAGCTGGTTCTGTGGGACAATCAAAGGGTCAGTTCTTCTACAGTATTTTCCAGTGGATTCTCCCCAGGTTGACATACATGAAGAATGCACAGAAGGGTTCCACCCATTTCAGTGGGCTTTCTGAAGCAGAATGTCCCAGGCCAGTTGTGCCCCAGATCAGACAAGATGCACTCAGTGATATTGAAAGGACACTTACATGATCTCAACATTTTTGCAATGGGGCCCACTTTGGGTCAACTTGACACCCTGGATGTTTTGGGGAGGTATCAATCCAGAATGAGTTCTTGTACATTGGCATCGGAGTTCACTCCCCATCCGGGCCAGTGAAACACCTAGAAAGGAAGAGAAGAATCCAATCTGAAACTGTTGCCCAAACACGTCACTTTAAAGTAGCCTCTTTATTTTGGTCTTATTCAATACCATGTCTTTAATAAGTGGTAATCACTGGCTATTCTGAAAAGTTCTCTCTTATCCAATACAGATTTATGCATTAATTAATTTTAATTAGTTTTTAGCTTGCTAAACTAACCTAGCTTGATCAATAGCATACTGGTTTTGATAAAATAAGAACAAAATAAGATCAATAAGCATTGCCTCCTCAGATAAGGCTAAAGGTTGATCTAGTCAAAGCTCTGGCTTCCATCCTTAGGTAGACATGTCAGACAGACCAGGCAAAAGTGGCATAAAGGACATGCCCATTACTGAATATATTTAGCTGCCATTTCTGAAAGCTGCTGATAGATCTATCCTACAAGGCTTTATTTAATAAGCTGTACTGAAGAATTACCAAAACAAAAACAACAAAACAAGAAACCACCCCAAGAAGGAGAGGAAATTTTCTGTGTCTCTCTGTATTTTTGAAGTGCTATTTCTATATTTTCTGCAGCTGGAAAATTTTGCATTATAATTTCCCCTTTCTGCGGTGATTGAGACCACACTCTTAAACACAGTCCTGGGCTCTTGAATGTCTCTAGGGTAGACATTCCAAGTGCTAGTTTGGAGCATGTTTGCTTACCTTCTGTCAGAGTTGCCGAGATCAGGAAAAGAGAGAGGATTGCAACAACAACCTTGGTGTTCATGGTGAGGCAAAGAATGTCTTTCTTCGCTGTGGTCTGAGAAGTCAAGATGCTTTGCTGCCTGAGAAGGTTTGTGCTGGATTGAGCTCAAGAACAAATTCTTTGCCTTAAATACTGTATTGCTACTGAAATACCATGTCACAGGAAATTCCCAGAACATGCAAGGCGCTATCACCAAATGAGTCATTAGGAAATCTGGAGGTAAGATTACACCAATAGTCCCTCCGGGTATAACATACAATTCATCACCTCCTAATTCATGCATGGTTTCTGAATATTTCGTGTTAAATACTAATGTCTTGTAAAAAAATAATCTTGGTTAGACTTTTAGGACCCTCATTACTTTCAGAAGCACAATAAATCTTTAAGATTAGCTATTTTATAACAATTGTCTCAAATTTACTAAGGTTCGTGTGAACCCTTTCTGGAAACTTGGGTCCTTAAGGCTTACTATCTTTGTTTTCCAAAACCCCTATTACAAAGACACAAATTAGTGACAGATAAACTGATTTCTCAGTTCTGCCTGGAAATATGCCCAAACATTGTTCAGCACCTTTAAAAGCAAACTAATTAGCTGGAGGTCTTGTGGATCCCATGAAAGGGAATTTTAATAAAATCCTTGTGTATGCCTTGTTTGCTATGTTAGCAGGAAATGCACTAATTTTCCAGGATTTATATAGGTCTTTGGGGGCACCTATTTAGGGCTAGAGGTGCCCACTCTCTTTTGGGGACTGGATATCACTGACATGATAAAGTCAGCATCTCAACTCCTACATTACCTCATTTTGATGATGCTGGGCAACATAACTACACTAAAAGTCAAACGACAGGATGGCACACCCTGGATTAGAATTTAAGAGTTTCTGGCATGGAGGCTGCAGTGGTTGACACACAGAGACTCTGCTGGTGTCCCACCTTCTCTTTAACTGTTCTGAGAAGAACATTTCTCTAACACCTGAAGAGGTCCCACAAATGTTCAGAAAAGGCTACCTGGAAGCATAGCTACATTTCAATGCTAAGCTAATCGGCACCAGGCACTAAGGTTATGCTTAAAATGCTAAGCGGTGATCTTGATCGCTCAGACCCTGTTCTATAAACATCAGCCTTCCCACACTGGTGCCTTGGGATGTGATGCACCACAGCCCCTCTCCCCACCACTGCACCAGTTCTGGAGCACAATAGACATGTTGCATAAAACAGGCACCAAATGTACTCGTACATCCAGCTTCCTGTCATGCATTATGGTAATGATGAAGTTGCATGTATATATTCTGCCATTTTCCCTTTTGTGACAAACCCAGCTTGGTTCACATTGCTCCATTTTAGCCTCAAAACAACAGCCCTGAGAGGTAAGTTGGTCTGAGAGTCACCCAGTGAGCTTCATGGCCAAGTGGGGACTAGAACCTGGCTTTTCCAGGTCCCCAATCCAGTACTCTCACCACTGTCCCATACTGTAGGTTGAGAGTGCCAAAAAAAAAAGCCAAAAAGTTTCAACTTTTTCATCAAAAGCAATTCTTTGTTGTGCAGTGTGAATGCTGGTCAAGAAAAACAAATGAACCTGGAATTTCTCTTGGGCTGAACATTTTAGTTCTTGGGATCCTAGCCAACTCATAAAATGAAAATCCTTCATAGATTAAAAGACTACCAAAAAAACCTATATTCCCCAAATTTATGTAGCTCAAAATTCCAATTCATCAGCCGTTTTTTAAAAATAGCACTGGTTTCAGAGACTTTTAATAACTTCAGTGTCATAGGCATTGTACACTAATTTTATTAAACATTCCTTTGTTAGATCAAGACCTTTCCTATTTGAAAAAAATACATGTTTGTGCAAGCAGGAAACTAGCAGCTAGCTCTCTCACAAATTATGGCCTCTTTAATTAATCATGTAATAGTTGAGTCAACTGTGGGGATGTTTTATTTCTTTGCACTACCAATTTATTAGTTGGATTTGAAGGAACAATGATGACCAGATTGATGACCTGAATATGAATAGTAAAAATATGTGTCAATAATGTCAAGAGTTTTTAAACATCAAAGGTTGGACTGGAAGTTCTAAAATGTTTCAACTAATGAATCATCAAACGTGACTGAAGAATTGGCTTGGTTTCAGGTATAAAGTCATTTGCCACAAAAATGTCTTATTTATTCAGTGGGTGCATGCATGTGTTAAAATGATTTCAGAATAAACTTTGAGAAACTGAGGACACTGCCAAATTGACCTAGTGGGTTGTGGAGACACTCAAGCCTCTCAAATACCAGAGCCTGGGGTGGGGGGAGAGTACTAACCACGAGCTTTATTAAAGAGAGTTTCGGGTGTTTTCCTAGAGCTCAGCTTGAGGTGGATGAATGGGGACAGGTAAGATGCCTTCTGGTTCCAAGAAACATGAGTTTCCTGGCAGTGGCTGTTCATGCCCTGCCAACAGGAGATCAGGTTAGAAAATTTCATGCCCAGACTTTTCTCAAAGCAGAATATTTTGCCCGAACAAACAGCTACGAGTATAAGAGCAGCATAAATGACTTACCTGTTCAAAGTAGAATTAGCACGGTATTCCTATTCTCTGAAGAAAGTTCAGCTTGGCTTCTGTTCAACAATGGTAGGTCCTGCCTACCCTTGAGAGTGCCAGCATGCATGTGAACAGGGGTAAGCCAGTAGCTGTTGTCTACTGCAGGCGTAGGCAGCACATGGTGATGAGCCCTGCAGACCACCCTCCAATACAGCTGCTATTCTCTCCATGCTACCCCCAGATCTGATGGTGGAAAAAGTTCCCACCTTTTATGGCCGTGTTATTGCTACACAATACCAAATATGTCAAATTGAATTTATTATAAAGTGAAATGTGTTGAATCTACCAGTGCCTGGCTGCACCAAAGGAATGGATGAGGCTAGCAAAGTAAAGCTCAGTCCAGACAAGACGGAGTTGTTGTTAGTGGTTGGTTCCTTTGGCAGAATGGAAGGTGTTCAACTTGTTCTGAATGGAGTTGCATTCCCCTTGAAGGAGCAGGTTCATAGCTTAGGCATCTTTTTCCTGCACTTCCATTTTGTCTCCAGGCTCAGCTGGAATGTGATCTTGTAGAGGTAATTTTTATAATTGTAATTATTATCAATTGTTATATACCATCTAATCCTCATAGGCTCTGGGCAGTTTATGTCAATTTAAAACCAGCAACATTTCAAATTTAGATTAAGGAACATATAGAATAATACTAAGCTGGGAAAGCCTGTCAGAAGAGATACATCTTTAGCTTCCACTTGAAGGCAACAGTCTGGAATATCTGAGGCATCTCTACTGGCAGGCATACTTTAGGGCTGGTCACTGAAAAAAGCCTCTGTAAGACATTATTCTTACAGAATCAAAGAGGGCAAGTGTGATGGTGTACATGAGCAAAGGTTCTCCTGAAGGTATTTTGGAATTGAACTGTGAAGGGCTTTAGAAGTAGTTACTAAAAACCTGCAACTTGTATGGCATTTGGAAAGCTGTTGGCAGCCAGTGGCAAGACTTTAGTATTTGTGATATATAGTCTTTCCATGGGGTCCCAGACACCATCTTAGCTGCCATATTTAGAACTAGTTGTAGTTTCTGGAGGAGCCACAAAGGTAACCCTATATAAAGCGCACTGCAGAAATAAAGCCTAGAAATTACCTGCACGTGCGCTCCTGTTGTCAGGTCATTCACCTCCAGGAAGGGACACAATTGGTGAAACCCTCAAAGCTGATAACAGAAACTCTTGATGACAGTGTCTATCTGTGCTGACATCTGAATGGACAGGTCTAAGAGTACCCCTAAACTATGAATATGGTCTTTTGGGGGGCTACAACCATCTAAAACTGGTTGACATCACAACTGATCTGGGATTCAAACCCTTAACAGCAAGCACCTCTGTTTTATCTGGATTTAACATCAATGTGTTAAATTGATGTCATTTTAACAAATTGATGTTAAATTGATGTCAAACCCTCATTATCAGCTTCAGGCATTAATTTAGAAGAGAGACATAGTCTCTAGCAGAAGCAGCAGATGATGGTAAGGAGAAGCAGATCTGGGTGTCATCAGCATATTGCTAACACCCACCACCACTCCTCCAGATCATCTCCCCAGGGGCTTCATCTAGATCAGCTTTCCCCAGCTAGTGGCCTTCAGGGCCATTGACTGGGAATTCTGGGTGTTGCAGTCCAAACATGTCTGGAAGGCACAAAGTTGGGGAAGACTGATATAGATGTTAAACATCACTTGAGATGTTAAACATCACTTTAACATCTCAAACATCATTTGAGACAAAATGGAGCCCTATGGGCTCTAAGTCAGCTCCTTCTTAGAGAAATGACTGTCTCCAAGCAGCAGCATCTGGAACCAACCTGAGAAGTAGGAACAGAGCCACTGCAAAGCCATGCCTCCAATTCACAGCTCCCTCAGATGATCCAGAAGGATACTGTGGTCAATACTATTGAAGACCATTCAGAGATCCAACAGAACCAACAAACTCTCAATATCAATTCTGAGTTGAAGATCATTCACTTGAGTGACCAAAGCAGACTCAACTGCATATCCTGCCCTGAAGCCAGTTTGAAATGGATATGGAAAATCAGTATTACTCAGAACTGTCTGGAGCAGGAGAGACTTGCTTTCTTAATAACCTTACAAAGAAATGGTAAGTTTGAGACTGGTCTAAAGTTAAGGTCCAGGGGGTTCAAATTAGATTTCTTAAGGAAGGTCCATATAATAAAGTCCTAGATAGAAACTAGCTTGTTGTAGCAGCCAGCTTTTCTCATATGACAGAGCTTCAGCTGTTGAGCAGTATAGAAGTTAATGAAATAATCAATAAGTGATTATGAAACTGCCCAAATACTGATCTCCCTACATCAGAGTTACAGCAGGTGGACCCAAATGAGAAGGTCTTTTCTTTCATAATGCTGAGACCCGAGACTTCCAAAAACTTCCCCTCTCAAAGGAGCCTGGCTCTGCCTTTTAGGGTGTCTTATCACACAGTGACAATGCCTTTAGTGCAGCTGCCATTTCAGGGTAATTTTTTCAGCGCTATGCTGCACCAATCTTTGAAAAGCTTTTCAGGATGTTTAATGGTAGGTTTATTTTT